CGCTCTTACTGTCTAATGTAAAATTATTTGAGGAAGGATGGAGTGTACTTTGAATTTGGCTACCAGAAGTTCAGTCGTTGACCGTTTTGAGGTTCGTTCAAGGCATTCAAGCTGCTGTAGCGACCAATTAGCATACACTCAACCCCTGCTTCGTCCTCCCTTGTGACTCCGCACTTTTATCGTTATGGACTGATGTAGCATTTATACAAGGAATCTGCGAGGGTCGTAAAAGCTGAAAACACGATTTCGAAGAGGTTCAGCATTTGCAACCGCCGCAGGCATGCGACATCGTTCTTGTGATATTGTTTGACGTCTTCATCGATTGCATGATGAGGAGAAAGCTGACTTTCGCTGAGTAAACAAACCGGATCTTACGCAAAGGCACAGTTCCTCTTTTGTGTATCGCACGCACCTCAACCGTTCAGACGTGAGCATTCTTGTAAGCGACACCGATGGACACTGCTAAAATAGCATCGGTGCTGTCGAAACATTAGGAGGCGTTTAATTCACCATATTGAAAATAAAATGATGACAATAGCAGAGGAAACAATGACATGGATCTTTTATTCCATGGAAATCGATTGGCTGAAACTAATTGCTTCAAGTACCTAGGATGAGGTAATTAACACTTCTTCGACGACGCCGAGACGCAGCGAAGAGTCTTCCTAGTAGCAACAGCATTTGAAAACGTCAGACAAATCTGCTGTCAACCGAGCATCTTTTCCGGTGTGTATGTTATGTTTCCAGAATTGTGAGCCATTATTCGATCCAAATTCAAAGGTCTAAAGGAGGCCACCGCAGAAAACATATGCACCTTGAAATAATCTCAATATTTTCACTCTAAATTGTCAGTTCTTGAAACTGCAATAATTCATAATGGCCGTTATGAATATTTTAAACTATCGTACGCATCAAAGGCGCAGATTCAAGGGACACGCTTAAAGAATTATGAAATAGAAAGCTCTGGCTCAACCAAAGCGACCCATTTACTAATCAGGTCAACAGCTACCTTGACACTTCTCTATTTTCAACACTCGTATAGATTTTCTCTTCCGAAACATTGCTGACCTCTTCAAGACCAAACTCTCGTTCTAGGAGGGAGCCACTGTTCAGTACCTTCGGCCAGGTATTTATCTAGTGAGTAGTTGGAAACCGGGCTTAACTACCAGCATGCTTTCGTATGTAGCACTCCTGGGAAAGTTGCCTCTTCCTTGACGTCCGGAAGCCAGACATTATGAAGAACCGATCCGGCACAACAGATCCGCAAATGCAGCACCGATAT